TTTTTTTTTTTTTTTTTTGGTTGCAAGTAGTCGAACCTCAATGATACTAATAGTTAGTTTATAAATAAAAATTTACAAAACAAAAAAAATGAGGATATTCTCATATTAGGGCTAAAATAGATATGAAATAAACCTCCATGTCCTCCTGGCAGTACAAGGTGTTTCTGCTATTTCGATAAACGAATGTTACCTGCAAAATGAGATTAGGACTTTCTCCCCCTTTGTACCTCCAACACGAGAATTAGTAGGTGATTTAGAAACGTAGGATCAAGAAGAAAAGATAGAATGTGTATTCGGATAACCAAAAACTTTCGGATCCATACATGTCCCGCTTTAGAAGTATTTATAGGCATTTGAAGCCAAGTAACTTCTGGGCGATTATCAAGCCATGTGTCCCACGTAGCACCTCCCACTGCCCTCACATTCTGAGTGGGGCACCTCCACCTATCAATTGGTTTGTTGTGTCCGTTAACCGTTGAACAGTTCACATCCAACTCGATAATTTTTTTATGGTCAAGTGTTGTGTTGGCTTCGCAGTGATAGACAGTCTTGCATTAATATAGAGGGCATTATAGTGGTCGATAGCCTAATGTGGACGTAGAAAGCCTCGTAGTGGTAGACGGCCTAAATGTAGAGGGCCTCATAGTGACGGCCTAGTGTGAACGTAAGGGCCTCATAATGATAGACGGCCTATCATGGGATGCTCGGACCTTATAGTGACAGCTTAGTGTGGACATAGATGGCCTTGTAGTGGTAAGCTGCCTAACATGGGATGCTCTACGTAGAGTGCTTATTGAGTAATTTTCACATTGTTGATCATCATAAATAATTATTGGTGCCATCTAATATCAAAAGCACAACCACGAATTCAAGAAGAGTCAAAATGGATTATAAATCATTGACAAGGGACAATGCCTGTTGACATTGAAATTGAAAATGGAATTTTGGAGGGTAGAGGCCAACCCTCCACTGCTTTCGGCGCAAACATTTCAATTATACCCACTTTAGGTGTTAATCTTTCCTTCTCTCAACTTCTTGTGGCCTCTGATTCTGATTCGGCTAGGATATTCACCAGTTTATGCCACTAATGCCTCAACATTTATAGTAAACATTTTAAATCAAATTTTACTCTTAAAACAATAACATTTTAACGTCTTTTACTCAATAAACTCTTATTGTGGTCGACTCAATGACTTCGTAAATAAATATGCAACCCCGTCGAGAGCTCCTTCTTTCTTTTTTTTTTAAGTAAAGGATTGTGTCTGTAAACATATAAATTTAATTTTCTGCTAAATTTGAATTTATTTCCATATTTGGGGTCCCATTTTCTGGACAGAATCATATCTGATCGCCTGTCATTACCCAGATTTGGGATATTTGCTTCTCAAAAATTCCCATATATACCCCCCCTCCCCCCCAGCAATGACAGCACTATTGCACTATCACAATCCACACAGATTTCTATATACAAGGAACATATTTGATTGCAAGATAGTCACTATCTGTCAACTTTTGGGCACATGGGTTCATGAAGCTATGACCACTTCAATGTTAAGACGTGCATGGTCCAATTGCTTGATTCGTGTCTAAAATCTTGGTTACGTTTTGAGACTTGAGGGATACCAATCCAATTGTAACTTAGGTGCAGTGCATCTGGTTCTTTGATATTGGGGTATTAGGTAGCATGCTTATGGGTAAAATCCCACTATCCAATAATGATGAAATATATAAACAAGTTCTCCTTTTAATGATGAAACACATAAATCATATTATATACTATGAAATGCAAAAACTCTTTATGGTATTAGAGTCCACAAGTTTAAATGAACAATTTGATCCATTTATTGATCAACAGCCAATCAGAGTCCAGGAATAAAATTCTCAAACGAACCACTATTTTGCATGAATACGTAAAAGGACCCACATCAATTCAAGTCGAAAATTTGATTACTACTCTTAATAATGATGACATTTAAGATTGGAACCCAAAGACTATAATATATATAGAATACAAAATCATCCACGTACGTATAAAGGACTTATAAAAATCCAATGATGATAAAAAGAAATCCAAAAATTAAGTTGTTTAATGAATAATAAAAGTCATGCTTTTTAAATAATAAATTAAAAAAAAAAAAAAAAAAAACAATAAGTTGCTTTCCAAGAGGCATGTAACTTTATAAAAGGCCTTTTCACAATTCAAGTGAACTATACAAAGAAACCAATGCTACCTCATCTCCAACACAAAATATTAAAATGAACATTATCATATCTTTGTACGATAACGTTAAAAATTATTGCGACCTGATTTTACTTGAAGTTTGAAAATATCAAAATCAAACATGAACATTTCGACCAAGCATGCTTGCCATTCGTTGAATTATCCATCAATCCCTATATTACCATGTTCAGGTCCAAATCCTACATATAATTGTATGAATTCTTTCTTATCTCTGGTCAAAATCGATACATAATTACCCAGTTTTGGGATATTTGCTCATGAGTAATGACAGCACTATTGCACTATCACAACAATCCTTACAGATTTCTATATGTATGGAATATATTTGATTGCAAGATGACTATCTGTCAACTTTGGGCACATGGGCGGTTCATGTAGCTATGGCCACTTCAATGTTAAGACATGCATGGTCCAATTGCTTGATTCCTGATTCTAAAATCTTGGTTACTTTTTGAAATTTGAGGGATACTAATGCCATTGTAACTTAGGTGCAGTGCATCTGATTCTTGGATATTGGGGTATTGGGTCGCATGTTTATGGGTAAAATCCCACTATCCAATAATGATGAAATAAATAAACACTTTCTCCTTTTAATAATGAAACACGTAAATCATATTATATACTATGGAGCTCGGAAACTCTATATGGCATTAGAGTTCAACAAGCTCAAATGAGCAATTTGATCCATTTATTGATCAGACAGGCAATCGGATTCTAGGAATGGCATTCTTAAACGAGTCACCATTTTGCATGATGTAAACTTTTGAAGGATAAAAATGTACAAAACGAATTGGAGAAAATAGGCTTGAAAGCCTTTTTGTATTTTCTTTACTGATGAAAAAACTGATACTATACAAATGGTGATGCACTCAATATATACAGTATCAAAGGAATCATTTCTAACAAACCTCCTAACAAATTTACACGTGGAGTGGTGGCCAAAAATAGAAACAATACAATTTGTACAAAAATAAGAGAAAACAACCTAACTAATATTCTTCTAGATAATTCTTATGTTGCATCCTTGTCACCAATTCCTCAGAGCTTCTTTCCTGCTGACTGTGCTCGTGCTCCTCCAACTGAGTCGTGTGCTCCTCCAGCTGAGCCATATCTTGTAATTTCAATACATGAATATTTTAAAGGAAACAACCCCACATCAATTCAAGTCGAAAAGTTGAATATTTCTCTTAATAATGATGACACTTAGATTGGAACCCAAAGACTATAATATACATACATATATAGAATATAAAATCCTCCGCGTACATATAAAGGACTACAAAATATCCAATGATGATAAAAAGAAATCCAAAAATTAAGTTGTTTAATGACTAATATAAAGTCATGCTTTTTTAAATAATAAATAAAATAAAAAGAATAAGTTTCTATCCAAGAGGCATTTAACTTTTTAAAAGGCCTTTTCACAATTCAAGTGAACTATACGAAGAAACCGCTGCTATCTCATCTCTAACACAAATTATTAAAATGAACATTATCGTATCTTTACATAATAACGTTAATAATTATTGAGACCTGATTTTACTTGAAGTTTGAAAATATCAAAATCAAACATGAACATTTCGACCAAGCATGCTTGCCATCCGTTGAATTATCCATCAATCCCTATATAACCATGTTCAGGTCCAAATCCTACATAATTGTATGAATTCTTTCAATTTATCTCTGGTCAAAATCGATACATGTCGTTATTACACATGTTCAGTAAGATTGAATGGAAATAATTAAATACGACAATAGATAAATATCTCACATTCATCTTAATCATATATCCTATACAGCTCAACATATAAAACAC